TGAAGTATTTTTGTAGATATACCATTAAAGTTGACATTAGACCATGCCCAGTGAGTAGTTTTAGTGATCCTGTATTAAGCGGCCGCCTGTATTAAGCGGCCAGTTCCTTAAGTCCTGAGGGTGGCCGTTATGTACAGGTTCGACTGTATTGTCACAGTGGATGCTGAAAGCAGGCTTTGGTTGCCTGGAGAGAGAGAAGATGTTTAGTTGACCTGTACATAAGATGCAAATAAGTAAATTGCTGGTTGTTGTAAACTTTTATTGCTGAATTTCTTTACTAATGTCTCACCCATTATACCATCGACATGCAGATCATCAGCATAATACTCATTGGAGTGGGAGCCTGGGCACATGATGAAAAGAATGAATATAGTGACCTTGACAGTTTGGCCTTTGACCCTTCCATTCTTCTTATCATTGTTGGCTGTTTGATGTTTGTGGTTACATTTTGTGGCTGTATTGGAGCTCTGAGAGAAAACAAGATCTTACTTTACATAGTGAGTGAAATGCATTTTTACAGTGGAGCCTCATTTTCTTTAAAAAAGTGCCAAACTTGAATGACATCGGATCAATTCAACATTGTGCCAAAGACAGGGATGTAGCTATCAAAACACTAAACTGGCTCAATCAACAAGCTCAGGTGGTTTTCTGGTCTTGGCAGCTCAAAAGTTTACCCAAGCCTTTGCTTTATAAAATTGTGACCTGAGATTTAAGTTCTCTTTCAGCCAGTACAATTGGCCAGAAGTTGCCTCATTCTCTGCAAAAGTGAATACTTGATAACATATAAAATTTCTTTGCCAGGCTCAGTAAATGATGCCTCTTGATAATGAATTGATTTGTGGGGGATCTCTTTAAAATGTTTGTTTATAATTTTCTTTTTGATATAATTAATTTAATGTTATTTGTTTGATTTGTTTCCAGTTCATGGGATCTTTGACCATTATCTTTATTCTGGAACTGATCACAGGCTTCATTGCTTTCTTTTTTGTTGACAAGGTAATTGAATGGCCATTTTTCTTGTGTGAGAATTAAGTGACTGAGCAGTTTAGAGGGAATGTGAACCTCAGTTAATTGAGTGCAATGTACCCTGATGGTGCCGCAGGTAAAACAGAATAGAGGTGCTTATTTGAAATTGGAACAGACTGGGAGAAGTGACTTAATATTGACATAGGACACTAATAAGAAAAGGGAGTCACTTAAGGTTACCATATACTGTACCTTTAGAGGTGTCTTGCATCCAAGCAATGTAGTGCATCCGGTTTAAACTGTAGATACCTAAACTCCAATATAAAGTTAAAGCTTATAAGAACTGGTTATCAAACTGTACCAAGAAGTTTGAAATAAAATGAATTGTCAAGTTTTTCACGACCTCTAAATGCGAGCATCCAAATCACCCTTAATTAGAAAGCTACAAGTCGAATTTTAGTCTTGTTTATTTAAATTGTTCCTCAGTTTCTGGACCCAAAGTGCTAAAAAAATACGTCACATTTGCCATTTTCAATTGCAGTGAAAAATTACAGAATATTTTTGAAACAGGACTAAAAAATGTGGAATGAATGTACAAAAATTGTTTTTGGTAAAAAATTATTTTGAAACAAAAAATTCACAGACTGTTACTGTTTTTTTGATGTTAAACTAGCTACTGTCCAAATATTAGGGTAAACAAACAAATTCCCTTTGACTTGTACGTGTAGCTTTGAAAAGGTTATAATCAGACACTCGCATTTAGAGGAAGTGAAAAATTCGAGAATTAATTTTATTTCAAAATTCCAGTTTAAGGTACATGTATCTGTACAGTTTAAACTGGATGCACTACATCACCTGGTATATGATAACCTTAATCAAAGTGGAAGCGAGGCACTAAATAGAATCAGTATTAGCATCTGGGATTGGAACGTTAAAAGAGATGGTGTACATAATAAAGATCGGCATTAACTAAACCTATCAAAAATCAAGCCATAAATATTCATCTTGCATCCTCAGACACGTAGCAAAATCAAAGAGGCAACACACAATGTGATCATGCGATACCGAGATGACCCTGACCTCCAGAATGCCATAGATGGAATACAGAAAGGTTTGAAGTGTTGTGGAGGCTTCTCATATCATGACTGGGAGCTGAATGATCATTTTAACTGTTCTGCTAACACTGTGCAAGCGTGTGGTGTGCCTTTCTCTTGCTGTCGAGAGGTAAGCTAGAGAATTTTCCCAGAGAACAATTTGTCCAACTAGTAAAATTTTTACTACATTCACAATGGACTCTGCTTTGGTTGGTCTGGATTTGTGTTGTGTCCTTGGGCGATTAACTCTTACTGCAGTGCCTTTCCCCAGAAACGAGTATGAATGGGTACTACCAGCAGTCTGTTAGCTGGAAAACTTCACAGAATGCCGGGGAATAATGGGCAATGGATTAACATCAGTGTGGGCCTGTGGCTCGAGTNGCTAGAGAATTTTCCCAGAGAACAATTTGTCCAACTAGTAAAATTTTTACTACATTCACAATGGACTCTGTTTTGGTTGGTCTGGATTTGTGTTGTGTCCTTGGGCGATTAACTCTTACTGCAGTGCCTTTCCCCAGATACGAGTATGAATGGGTACTACCAACAGTCTGTTAGCTGGAAAACTTCACAGAATGCCGGGGAATAATGGGCAATGGATTAACATCAGTGTGGGCCTGTGGCTCGAGTGTCACTTAAGCTCCGATCACGTGGGTGACCACTTACAGGTGTCAACTAGGTACAACGTTTTGTTAGTGGATAAAACCGCAATTTGGCACCCGTAACTGGACACTTACGCTATTAGCATGTCAATTACTTTGCGCTCTAACTTTCATCGTCATGTTTTTCTACTGTTTGTAAAACTTTTGAAAAGTACTACAAGCTACTACTGACGTTTTCGCTCAAAAGTTCCTAAAGACTTCTTAATGACGGCATGATATTTTTATTCCTAATTGGACCTCGAGTCGTACAATTCAGAGATTAATCGCGTTCGTAAGTTTTATATCGTCCGATTTTGAAATTATACGCCTGACTGCTTCCTGAATTATACTCCTTTCGCTCCAATTACTATAATTACAAATCCAATGAATGAAAAAATCGAAAATTCTGTTATAGATACGATTATCTCTGCCTTCCGTTGCAGTGTTGCTTTCAACAGTGCCATCTGATTACACTGTACAGCCCTATTAAATGCTATTCTTATACTGAAGCAATTATTCTATTTTTTTTTTTATTTTGTTGTGCAGGATCTAATTAACACGCACTGTGGATTTTCAGTAAGAAAAGAGAAACTGGTAGGTCGCTCCGTCTTTCACCAACATATTTCACCTAGCCACGCTAAATTTAATTGCCCAACTGGTCAGTCTCTAGCCTTTCGGATCTTTGCAGGAACTTTACTGGTACTTGTTTGTCAATGGGCGATATGTCTTTCTATTACGGTAAAAACGCCGTTTACCGAAAATGGTTTTTTTGTCAGTTGAACTCCTTCAAGGCACTGAAAAGCGCGCAAGTGTCCCGAAAGTGGCTGACAATTGGACTTTGTGAAAGTTCTTTGCGGTTAGTTGTAAGCTGTCTCTCCTCAATCTCGCACTTTTTGCACAGTTTCGCGGGTTTTGGCGTGTTGCAGCTACTTTTCTCGTTCCGCTCTCGACCTGAAGACAAGTTAAAAAATGCAAAAATAGGAAGTGTTACTTCGCTTGTAATGTAATGAAGTGGCAAAGTTGTAAAATGACACCCCTCACATATTCCTCAAGCCTTTTCCAGGAATTCACTTTAATAGTTGGGGCGCTGCGCGAAAAATGGCGCACGAAAAAATAGG